CATCGCCAATGGCTAGAAGTACCTCTTTCCCAGAATGAAATATTTGGAGTGCAAAACTAAAAATAAGGAATTTTCATATTTCAACTAAAAAACTATCGATAATATTGGATCCCGAGAAATGAGGTTATTTCTAGGGAGGAGCGAAATAACGACCCAAACCTTTTAAAAGAATATGCTGATCCAACAGCTTGAGGTATTTGCGTGGCCAGTGGTGAAGATATCGTGACATAGTGATGTTCCGCTGAACCATAATGCACTGGCATCTGCTTTCCACCAGCTGTAGCAGGTTCATTTTACTCAAAAGCAATTAGTGAGAATAGGTACGGAAGAAAAACGAGAGAAGAAGCGATGTTCAGTTTTCTACTGAAAATTTTTGAGTAATTTTGTGGACTAAGAAACCGTGCTAACAGTAGAACAAAGATCAACATTTTGCTGTTAATAGGCTGCAACATAAAACAAAGACTAGCTCAGGTATAAAAGACAATAACTTAGGCCCGGACACATCAAGTATGCCGTGCGATCATGCATTTTTGCACTAAACTTGAAGCAATCAGGTCATAACCTGCACAAATGACTGTTTCTTTATACCTATTTAGTGTGATCATTAGTGTAATTATCATAAATTTTGCATAAAGGAAAATGAATAATTTTCGTTTATCGATCAATTTGTGAAAAAAACTCAGGTATGTGTGGTTCGCACATAAGGCGCTTAAAAGTTTTGGCAGGAAAGTTGCTGGTTGAATAATTCTCCCGCCAAAACTATCACGTGTCCACGCGTGAGAACTACGTATACCTGGGAGCTGAATTTGAAATCTTTAGCAAAAAGTAATCTTTACCAATATCTTTAGCATTTCCGTAGCACTGGTGCATCAAATTTTCGAGCGAAAAGCCTCTCCATAAAAGCACACCAACCTCTCGATATTGCGCATAAACTAAATCGTCATCTTGCAGTGCTGCTGCAGAACCAATATGACTAGCCTGTAGAGAAATTTTTATGATTCCTGCACTTGTGATTTTTTAAAATAAAAATTTTGTGAATTTATTAAACATCAAAACAAAAATTTTAAGTAAAAAGTTCACCTCATAATACTGAATACTAAAAAATTTGGGTTTTTGAATGTTTTGACTAAATTATTAAAAGAAAGTGAGCTGCAGCTGTTATAAAGAAACCTCTTCGCCAGAACTTGTCATGTAGAAGGATATGCGTCCCTGGCGTTGCGAATCGTAAAGAATTTTGTCCATCTGATCGATAAGAACCATATTTTGATACATCTTCATAGCAAATTCCTAACAAAATAACAAACAGTAATCCTTAGATTACGAAAAAAAAGCATAAGTACATTGCCATTATGGATATCCCTTTATGCATAAGATTTATATCGGAAGAAAATTTCGCACAAATCCAAGATTTAACTCGGTATTCTGCTGTTGCTTGCTAGCGAGCCATTCGGAAAACACATATTTTTTCACAAATTCAAAACTGAAACTTCCGACTGCGAAAAGTAGGGAAAACCACAAAGTGCAGTGACTCGCACATCATAATGATGGATAGTGAATTACTTGGAGCAAGGAATTTTAATCCCTCACAAATCCACAAAAAATATGATTTCTTTCACAAAATAAATGGCCAACGCACGGGCTGCCCGTGCGAAGATGCGTTTTTTGCAGAGTTCCCCGCAG